CAGGCCATGCGGCTCTACAGCTTTGCCCACGTGGAGCCCGAGAAGCGACCCTGCTGGGGCTTCCAGGTTCGACTCGCACGACTCGCGTCCCACGCGCGCACGCGCACGCACACACCATCGCGCATGCGTCTGACCTCTCTCCTGCAGGCCGTCGAGGGTTCGGAGGAGTGTGCCGAGGTGTGGGAGAGGCTGTGCAACCCCAAGGTGCTGGACAAGGCGCGCGAGAGGAACCGGCGGCCCAAGTACACACCCGGCAGCCTGGCCCTGCCACGCCACGGGATGATGTGGGACAACAACTTGGACATGGACGACGAGTGGGGTCTCTTCGCCACCGTGCCCGGCAGCACCTACAAGCAGATCGAGTGGCGAGACGGAGACCAGCCCTTCTACATCTTCAACGAGCAGGCCAACGTGGGCCAGAGCTTTGGGCGGGCAGAGGGCCTGCCCGAACCGGCGGTGCTGGCGGGCCTGCACTTCCAGGGCGGCAAGAAGTCCATGCTTCCCTCCTACACCACGTGGGACACCGAGTGGAACCGGCGGTGCCGGTGCTCCACCCCCGACTGCCGCAACTGTGTGGTGTCTTCTTCCACACGATCGTCGTGACCTGAACGAAACTGGCAGGAGCACACGCCACGAGCGAAAAAAACAAAAAAACAAAAAGAAATTCCTCTTAGTTTGAGAAACCAGTGTAGCAGTGGTAGGGGGGTGGTGACACGCGCATGGTGGACCACGACGGGGCGTGGTGGTTGGCCTGGCTGGGCCTGCTCACTGCGCTGGGGGGCGCATGTGGGACGGCCTTTGGTCTCCTGCTCGCCCGCCCACTGAGCACCATCTCTTCATTGCTACAGCACCCCGTGACAGCTTTACCGGCCACTACTCCTCCTCCCGCTGCTGGCGCCAGCCAAGCCCGACCACGACGTCGTTGCGGGCGCTCCCACCGAGTGTCTGCGCCGCCACCCCCACCCGGGCCGCCAGCGGCAGCTGAATATGAAGAGGTGGAGGCCGCGTGTAGCGCGGCACAGAAGCGGCGGCGACGACGACGTAGGAAGCAACTGTCGATTGGCATCACCACCACGGGTGTT